AAATTCTCAGACAGCCCTATACATACTGTTTATCTTTGGCAGTCTCATATACATGGGTGTTGCTTATAAAAGAAATAGGTAGAAGTTAAGTTTCAGGATTCATTTTAGAGACTAAATTAGCCGTGGATTGCATATGATCACCGCTATTGTCTTCGGGGAATGGAATTTTTGTAATATTAATACAACTTTGTACTATTAGTAGATTCTCTTGCAGAAAAGGTTTACCTTGTTCATGTGAATATTTGGGGATGTTAACTAAAATCTTTTCTACTGTCTCTATAATACGAAATGGCAGCAGAAATCAGAAAGCTTGAAAAACAAATGGCTGAGCTTGAAGCTGAACTGAAAAGGGTAATCCTGCATATATGTGTTTCTTTCATTTTGAATTCTTGCATGCCTAGTGATAATGGATATATTGCTCTTTCTGATCCAATTCAGGTTTTATTTTACATTTGTCAATCCTCTGAACACCCTTTAACTGGTTGTATACTTGTTTGATGCAGAAAAACTTGAAAAAACATAGAAAATCAACAATAAGCACCTTGACACAAGCAATTTTGGAGAAACCAAAGGCTTTCTCCCACCTAGAGCTCAAGCCTTAGTCTTCTTTTACAAAACAAAGCCTTTCTTTTCTTAAAGAGGAATACATGAATGACTCTCTAGCCCATCCATGCCCTTATTTATATTAGAAAATTATTGATTTGGAAAATATTTATCCTTACAAATAACTTTTGATAAAAAAAGATCCGAACTTAAGTATAACTTGAAACTAAATTACTTAACTTTACTTAAAATATCTAAAAAGTCCCTACCTGGTCTAGCAATGAAATAAAAAAATAAAAAATAAAAAAAATCTGAAATAGCCTCAAAAAACTAAAAAAAGAAACCAAACTATTTCTTACCCTTATTGTTCTTCTTGGAAACCCTCCTAGGGTTTTCATCCTTCAAATATGTGTGAAAATTAGGAGGAATTTATCACTCTAAAAGAAGATACTCATGGCCAATTGGTGTGCTTAGACACTTCAAAAGAAGATGCTCGTGGATACTTGTTGTGCTTAGATCTCTATCAGTATATCTTCTATACATTTTGATTCCAATGTTGATTTTCTTGATCGTGTTGTACAAGCCCCTCATGCCTTCTATGTTGGGTTTGAAAATTTTTGTTGCAAATGACTATTTTGTATCACTTATCTGCCCAACATTTTGGTACTGCGCTTTCTATCTTATCTGAATTTCCTGGTTTTGAAATAAATGTTTCTCTATTTTGAATAGCTTCTCAAATCTCTTAAGAAGATTAATGTAGATGGTGTAGGAACCACGGCTCAGGCTTTCTTCAACAATTTCTTGCAAAACTATAAGGAAATCCTTATGAGAGATTTTATTAATAATTGAACTGTATTTTTTTTGAGCTTTTTATACATGGTTCCTTTTCAGTGTACACTAATATGCTTTTAATATTTTGTTTCGTAAATTCAATATTGACAATTTTGATAGCATTGAGAAGAAGGCCCTAACCCTGCCCGTCACATGCTTGTATCCATGTGTTGTGAAGCCTTGAGACTAGATGCGTGCCTAATTCACTCTTGTTCTCGATTGCTTGTTCCTATGCTAAAAAGAACCGGATAAGAAATTATGTGACGAGCATTATTGGACCATGAAATGACCATGAATTTTTTGCACAAGAAATGTACATATAGTTGTATGTATGCAAAACGTTTATGCAAATTTTCTCAGTTGTATATATGTGATTTGTCCTTTTTTGTATTACATTATTGACTTGGATCACTCTTTGCATCTTATATGTTCACTCTATTTGTTTCACTCTTGTCATCACATATTGACTGGATGGATCTTTTCTTTCAATGCGACTCTTTTTTTACATAGGGAAATATTATGAATCAATCACACATTGACTGGATGGATCCTTTCTTTCAATGTAACTCTTTTTTTACGTAGGGAAATATTATGAATCTTGAAACTACCCTCTTTCTCATTTTCTTGTCTCGCCTCCTTAAGATTTTGTCCTTAATATATTTGCCCCCCTTTTTCGAATTGGCCTCATATGAGAAAAATATTAGAATCAAGTCTGCTGTGATAGTCGAAATGCTAAACCAACCTCACCTTCCAAAAAAAGTCATATTTAAAAACAAGGTTGCAAAGCAGTCTCGACCACAATGGTATTCTCATACTTGGAGGTGGATGAGAAAAAAAAAAATGAGTTACTAGTATGACTTAAGAAATATATAGTGGCATATGCCTAAACAGTGTGGTCTAGAGGTGTACGTAATTCAGGGGCCTAGAAAGTCTGGTCAGCGGGTGTACGTAATTTTCCCTACATATATATATAAATATACATGCCACAAGAACCTACCCATGCACCTGCACTTCAACCTGCATACATGCAAAACACATATACTCTACACTCATAGCCAGTAAGTCTGCGTTTTCAACACACATTTTTTTTTGAAAAATCTCTAATTTTTTTAAATCCATTAATAACTCTGAGTTTTTCAAAATATCTTCAAAAAATCGTGTTTTTTAATGAAACTAACATAAATCCGTATTTTATCTTTTTAAAAAAATATCTTCTTTATGACTTTATTTTTTCTTGAACTTAATATTATTGAATTTTGATTTAAAGATAAGTACATTAACAATGGAAGTAAATTAAAAATCTTGATTTTAACAGAAAAATTCTATCAAAAGTTCCTTAAAAAAGTGAACAAAAAAATATAAGCAATATATTGCCAAAAAAAAAACAACAAATCATGATAATCATGTATCACAAAATAAAAGGTAGAATTCGAAAAAAAGTAACCCAATAAAAAAAAAATTCTTTAAACTCATACCCACTGGATAAAGAGCAAGAGAGAAATTAAATTTTACTAAAGATTTCAATGGCTAAGATTCAATGCGAGATTTGAATTTTCTTAAGCATCTTGTTGCTTATTTTATACATACAAAAGTTTGATTAATTTCATATTTTATTTTTGTATTTATTTTATTGCTATACACAATATAGCATTTTGAATGGACCACTATTTTATATATTTGGATCTTTGTATTTTCTTTTAACTAACTACGATCCTCTATGGACACCATTTTTTGTTTTCTCTTTGAAAAGTAATCTTATATCTTGATTCACAATTCTTATTATTTGTTAATCAATTCTTATGTTTAGTATTAGGGAAAGCTTTCTATGTTCCCTACAACATAGAAGTTTTATCCTCCCTCTTATCCAACCGTCTATTTTTTAATGGAAGGCTAAGATTGCCCCAATCACAATGCCACGTCTCTATACTGTTTTATTTTTTCTTTTTTTTATAAATTATTTTGATACCAAATTTTGGACTTCCATTCTTCTATTAAACTTGCACTGACAAAAAATATAAAAAAAAATATTTTCAATAAAATAAATTTACAAAAATATCCCTAAAATTTTCAAGGGGCATTTTGATCATTATTTTTTATCGAAAAATTATTGTTGATATTTTTTTCTAGGTGCGCCCCAATGAGAAGATGGCACGTACCAAATTTCATATTTAAAATAATTGTATTAAAAAAACTAAAAATAAAATACTTTGAAACGTTGGATCTAAGATCAAACGGTGAGTGACTCTCTTGATAAAAAACGGACAGCTGGATGATAGGGAGAGGATAGGGGAACATAGAAAGCTTTCCCTCAGTATTATTGTTGTTGTTTCATTTCATGCTCCTATAGATGTACGTCATGTTTTTTGTTGTGACAACAGGGCATTGTTATTGAATTTATTGAAACTTTCAATAAAAAATTATCAAGTATTACTCTAATCATACTCATCAAAGTATAAAATTATTGTTTAATTCCTTTAATATATCTGTACAATAGTTATAAATCATAATCATCTCTTGTATAGTCTTTATATATGTGATTTTTTCACTATTTTTTTAACCAATTTTAAAATAGGAAAAATATCTCCATACTTCTTATATTTAAATTTTATATCTCAATAAACCTAAAGTTTCAAAACATATCTTGAATCATAAAAATTCTAAGTTTTATATCTTTTAACCCTTTAAGCTAACTTTATCCCCTTTAAATCTATTTTTTTACCCCAAACAATTATAAGAAAGACATCGTTTCTAAACACCATCATTTATCTCTCTTCATATAATTTTCCCCTAAATCTCTCTCTATCTATTTTTCCACTCTTTCTCTCTCCCATTAGAGGGACAAAGAGGTTGAATATTAAAAAGAAAGAAAAATTGGAATGAATATATCACCTAAAGGATTTAGAATAAACATATCTTTTCTATATTTGTTAGGGTTAAAAAATAATTAAAAATAGATAAAATTTGTGGATATTTTCTCTTTCAAATATTCATGATTCTATATTTGTACCTTATTTTTTGGTATCCCTAATTTCATATTTTCTCTCCCACTTTTTGAAATAAGGAAAAGCTTTTTATGTTCCCCTACAACATAGAAGTTCTATCCTACCTTACCATCCCGCCGTCCTTTTTTTATCAAGAGAGCCACTCACTATTTGATCTTTAGATCCGACGTCTCAAAGTATTTTTATTTTTAGTTTTTTTAATACAGATTTTCTGAATATGAAATTTGGTACATGCCACTTCATCATTAGGGCACACCTATAAAAAATATTAACAATAATTTTTCGATAAAAAATAATGACCAAAATACTCCTTAAAATTTTTAAAAGTATTTTGATTATTTTATTTTATTGAAAATATTTTTTTATATTTTTCATTAGTGCAAGTTTAATACAGGAATCGACGTTCAAAATTTGGTATGAAAATAATTTATAGAAAAAAAAATAAAAATAAAACAGTATAAAAGCCTAGTATAAAAGCCTGACATTGTGATTGAAACAATCTTAACCCTCCATTCAAATATGGAGGGTTGGATAAAGCGAAAGATAGAATAGGGGAACATAGGAAGCTTTCCCTTGAAATAAAACCTGCAGACAGATAACTTTTCATTTGTCTCTCTCTCTCTTCGCTCTCTTTCATTGTGGCTCTCTTTTTAGGGGTAGGTGCCACGCCATTAACGGTCTGGGAAGGGGACGGTCACAAGCTTTCAACAACTTGTTTCCAAATTTTTTCACCAGGAATGAGTCCACACGGGAGACCAGGGCTCCTTTCTGGAATGACTTCCCTTTCGACATTGATTTCCTCTCTTTCTCTCTCATCTCTTAAAAGGGTGGCCTAGTGAGAGAAAGAGGGAGAGAGAGACTGTGCTGGAGTGGATTGCTTTCTCGGTCATCCGCTCCATCACCCCACGTTGCCAGAAGAGAGAGGGGAGGCCCCTGCCTCTGTTAAGAACAGGAGAAAGGGGAAGCCTAAGCTTTGGTCCAATCTAATTGTAATCTGCACTCTATTTCACCCTGAAACTGAAGTTTGAAACAATCAAAAGAAAATGAATTTTTTTCTCTCGTTTTCTTATAAATGGGGATTCATGGTTTGATTGAACTTTAAGCAGCAGCTGGAAAAAGTATCACCTCTTCTCTTATACTCAATCTTCAAGCTTCTTATCAAATGCAACCATGCTGAAATGTCAAATAATCTCTAATCAACTCAGCATTTTATTAGATTGAATTCAAAGATGGGGTTTAGTGCTTGAGCGGTGGTATTCTCTTAATGATCAATCACCACAAAATTTCTCCCCGGCCCATCTCCTTGCTCACACTTCTCGGTCAAAGAAGAAATGTAAATCTCCCTCTTTTGGCTGAATATCCACTCTAATTTTCGTTGAAACTTTGTGGGTCTTTGTTGGATTGGTAAGAAAAATGAGTTCTTCCAGGACAACAATGCAATCTAATTTGGAGTGCTTCCTTGACTGCATCACTCCGGTGGTGCCGGCTCGTCTGCTTCCAAAGGTTCATCCTCTCTCTCTATGATCGAACTGCCAACTTTGAATCATCTCTCTCTCTCTCTCTATGATCGAACTGCTAACCTGTGAAAAAAAATTCACTTGCAGACTTCCCTTAGGAGCCTCAACAGGCTATGGCAGCCATGGGACAAAGAAACAGTTGAGTATTGGTCGCTGGGGGATTTGTGGAATCGTTATGATGAGTGGAGCGCGTATGGTGCAGGCACCCCCATTGTATTGAACAGTGAGGAAAGCGTGATTCAATACTATGTGCCTTATCTCTCTGCCATTCAAATCTATACCAGCAACTCCTACAGGTAGCTATTACCTTCAAATTAATCACCATGTAATCTCCCTTTCTCTCTCTCTCTCTCTCTCTCAATTCTGAATGCTAAGCCAGTATAGTCCAATGCTCTTGCTTTCTAGTCTGTTTACTGTCTTTTCGATCTTTTTCTACAGCACTGTGCATAAAAACTTAGTAGGCGGAACTAAAAAAACCTACATATTTAGGCCAACAAACCGATTCAATGGTTCTGCTAAGTAGAAAAGAGACCACAATGGCATGTTACAATTTAAGAGCATGCTTTGAAACCAATTAGAACTTTTAGTCCTAGTTGCATAAAATAAACCAACATTATTGGCATATGGGAATTAACTTTAGCATAATCCAAATCAGTATTGGTTTTAGTATCTCATTCTTTGAACTTTGAAGAATTTTCTTGGTCTGGATCTTCATTGTTTGAGCTAGGAAGCATAGTGCATAGACTGTGCTCTACTGAGGCAATGCTGGAACTTGCTAGGTAATCCAACTTCTTAAGGGAGTTTCAAGTGAGAATGGAAGTTTAGAAGACATTGGAGGAGTAGAAAGAGCCTTGATTTGAATCAAACAATTTGCAAGGTCTTCATAGGCTTTCATTGGCCACTCGTTTCCGAGAAACGTGAGTCATTGTCAATCCAAATCTGAGGACAGTGTGCACTAAGGTCCACTGCCTAACATACCTTGACTATAGGAAAAAGTGGAAAACATCATACACTGAAGTTTAAGCTAATGTTTGTGATTCTTGCCCACACTTGTCTGATGGCTGATCCTCTTAAGACACGTCAAAATTGTGATTCTATTTAGCCAAATTAAGGACCGAGTTGGGGTTTTTCTGAGGGGTCGTGGAAGCAAGCATTTAACAAATAATCATTCCCATAAATTTTAGCAAGCCATATCTTTTGTGCCTTATACAAACTGAGAAAGCCTACATCAACTTTGCATTTTCCATTCCAATGTTCCAACATAGATCTCTTATTTTGGAACATGGTTGTTGGATGCGGGCACGGGTTCAAGAGCGACGCCATAGGGTGGAAACTCCTTGTTAAAACCAATGTCCATACATTTTACCAGTTAAGGAGCATGATCCTAGGATATATAGGAGCAAGATCCCATGTCATGGGATCGAGGTTTTGACTCGAAGGGATCTATCTCCACTTTACACAAAATGAGATTAGTTAATAGTATATGATAAATTAAGATCGATCCAATGCCCGTTAGATCCATTATCTTACACCTTAGCTTATTACCAATACCATAGTTATAATTCTCCAATTTTACAATAATACAATGTAATGATATCATAAATTGGCTTGCTATGATACTAAAATGTAGTTTTTAATACTGCAATTCTAATATACCACAACGTAATATGAACTATGGTTTAGCATATTCTAAAGAAATAAATATATAATACAAACGAGAGGAGCAGTAGCTTAATTAATAGTATAACTCCTTCCCTTTGAGGGATCCTACAAGCATGTAGACTGATATCTCATTTTATAAGGAGCGAGATCCCTATTTCTCTAAAACCAACTCCCTATAAGATCCCTTAGAGGAAGCGTAAGATCGAGTTCTTAAGGTGGGACTATGGCCTTAACCCCCAAGGTTCCCGCAACTATGCTTTGGAACCTTCCCACCAATCTGAAACACCAATTTGTATGCCTCTCTCATTAGGTTAGAATTAGCTTGACTTTTGTGGCTCAATTCTCTATAATTACTTTGCAATTTACATGGTGTACAAAGGGGTGATGTAAAAAGGACAATAGAGTTTTAGATCATAGGGTTTTTGACAATACAATCCAGTGTACAAAACCACAACTCGGGGACAAGATTCACCCATGCCCCATCAGGTAACTCAGGCCGAGTCCGAGTTACTCGGTTTGAGTCGGGTAGAGCCCGGCCATGCCAAAATGTGTTAAAAAAAAAAAGAAAATTACAAAAAATATTCCAAAAAAAATGTGTTTAAAGAAAAATCAAATAAAACACATCTAAATGAGGATAAAAAAAAGTGGTGAAAAAATGGATTTAAAAAAAATCAATTTGTGATAGGGAGCTATTTTAGAAATAATCCAAACATAAGAGAAAATGTTAAAAAAAGTATTCATGGCCAAAACACTTTCCAATATTTTCCAAATTGATAGAAAACACAACAAAAAGCCATACTACAAATGGATCTTATTTTTTGGATTTTTTTATATTTTTTTGAATTTTTTTTTAATCCCCAAGTCGAACCACCCAACTCGGGGATACTCGGACTCACCAGCAGGGCTAATTGGAGTTGGCTCGCCCGAGTTTTCGCACACTATATAATCTGTTGTGCCTTCTATTGAAGTTGTCTCCCCTCTATTGGATCTGCCGTCTTCTCTTCAAACATCGTCACTTCATACTTATCCAATATCATGCATATGCTATTAGTTCAATCTACTGCCCATTTCCATGAAAATGCAGATTCTCCACATAGTTGAGTCTGAGACCAAGTTTTCTGTTTATTCTTATCATTCTCAAGTTGTGTTCTATTGTAAAATAAAGACTTAGAGAGAGAGAGAGAGAGAGAGAGAGAGAGAGAGAGAGAGAGAGAAGAAGTA